TAAACAGCATCCGTTTATTGTGTCAACTAGCTTCTTCCAATTTTATTCCCTAACGCTACTGTTTCTACTTAAGTTACGCAAATTAACTAAATAAAATAAGCTTCAATAACTATAATGCTTAGTATGCAGGAAGGATGTTTATAACATAGCGCGCGTTCTTGCCTTATAGAAGTCCTATTGAGCCGCTATGAACAAAATCTTTATTTACGCACGCCCGTGCGTAAATAAGATGACGTGTTCAGCTGTGTTTTTCATATGATAAACAGGATAAAAAACTTTCTAGACTTTTTTTGGGATTTAGCTTCGTTCTAGCCACTCAAAACAACAGCAAAAGCAGTGAAGATGTTTCGAAAATAATAGAACCTGAATGATTCGTTTAAAAGTCTGCCCTAAAGACTGACATTTACTTGGAAAAAGACCACAAATTGGTCTGTGTTTTATATCCTACAAAACAAGTTAATTATAAAGTAAGCTCAACAGCAAAATATTATGCACTTTTGTTATCGCCGAACAATCCGACTGAAGCAGGAAAATTCCTCTTGCAATAACAAGACAAATTACACAAGAAGACATAAATTTATTACTCTCAAAAACAACTGCTGCTAGGTTTTCTCAAGAAGCCGTAATGACCAGCCATTGTTCGTAAATGAATATAAGGTTAACGTAGGATGACAGTCGTCTTCTCTGAAAAACAAGTTTTCTGGATTTCGCCGAGCAATACTTAAACATCATTTAAGCAAATCCAAACCATACTCCACGACTTCTTACGAACATGTGAGTATTTTCACTTTAGGTGGACTTTAAGACTCTTTTACCTTTGTTTCTTTTTAATTTTCATTGATCGTTGACGAATAAATAAGGAAATTTTCTTCCTCAGTTTTACAGAAAGAATTTTCATTCAAACTAGACCATTGTGGCGTGTTTGTAAAAAGCGAAAAGCAAGCATTTTTGGCAGCTATGTTATAAAAGAATTTGCTCATGCTTTTAGCTGTGCATATATCGAGTTATGGATGCACTTGGGACGTTTGGAGAGCACTCAAGAAGCTAGAGTTGCACTCGGCTATCGCCTCGTGCAACCCTTACGCATCTTTCGTGCTCTCCAAACTTCCCGCGAGCATCCATAACTCTATCCTACGCACGTTAAGCATGAACAAATTCTTAAATCATGTTGTGCACTTATTATTCTTTTTTTCGTTGTTGTTTTGCCGGAACGAAAAAGGTCTGTTGAACTTTGTATGCGAGAAAATAATATTTTTAAATCTTGTTTACGGGATTAACAATACTCGGTACTGCTTTCAAAAAAGTAAGCTGCCTTTCAAACTTGTAAAACCACGTTTTATAGGCCGCCTACTTTCGAATGAAAGTCCATATCTTAATATCAATTATTGCCTCACTGGAAGAGCTTTAAAAATATACGACCAAAATACTCTACCTTGAAGCAGGTGAAACACAACTCATAAATACGTGCGTCAGTACCGTTAGCGATAGCCGAATTCGGTCAGAAATGTCTTGAAGTAGCATCCACACTAAGATATGAACCCTTAAACAGCTGCATCACTGTACACAGCGTTTGAATCATGAAGATATTTAATATAATGTTTCTAAACACCTGTAGCCGTAATAAAAGACGAAAAAATTGTTAAGAATCAAGATGGCGGTCTCTAAGTGCCCTTGCTCGACCTTTAGCAATGTCATGTTTAAGTAGATGCCAAGATCTCATTAGAGACCTTTAGATTCAAGGACGAGAACGACTACCAGTACGAGATTTGACTTAAAGTTTTTTCGCGTATTCTCAAAATATAGACTCCCCGGAAAGCTTCATTTTACCATTTTTCACTAGAAAAGTTAGCAATCCCGATCGCAAAATGATAAAAATTCGTACATTTGATAACTCGTTTTCCCCACTTCGACATTCTCGCTAAAATTCGTAGTAGAGTGACGACGGCTACCACGTTTTCCCGCCAAAATGACGCTGGTTCACACTCGAGCACTACTTAGTACTGAGAAAATCTCGTACTCGTTGTCGTACTCGTCTTAGAATCTAAAGCTCTCTATTAGCCTCCCTCGCAGACGTTCTTAGGGGTTCGTCACGCAATCATTCCTCGCGTGACGAACCCCTAAGAACGTTTGCGTGGGAGGCTAAGATCTCACATGATCTCATTGGTTCCTAAGCATCAACTCATAGTACCTTCAACCTTATTGGCTCTTGCAACAAACATCCGAACATACAAAGATACAAAGATACCAAGATACAAAGATACAAAGACACAATGATACAAAGCTGTAAAGATACATACGCTCACACCAATGACATATGAGTTATTTTTTCAAAATAGCTCAAAAACGAAAGCAAAAGGAAAAAAAGCAGTCAACGGTGTGTGAGGACTCTGCATATCAGCAAAACGACCGCGGTCAGTGAGCGTGAGTTCAAATATATATGTTTCTTTTTACTGAAGTTTAAACTCCCTATTTGTTGCGAAGAACCTTAACGGGTTATCCTGTGGCACTTTTTGTGCATGCGCATTTTCGCCCAGAGAGCACGAGGTTTTTGTATTTTTTTGTCATTTCAGCACAATTTTGTACACAAGCGAGAAGAGATTAAATTGTTGATGTTCTTATGAATCTTCTGGACTAATGACCGACCAATAATCCCGGCGAACACTATTTGTATTTTTTTTACTATTGACACAACGACAAGAGACCTAAACAAAAAGCATTTGGTTTTGTCCCGTCCATGACAGTTCGTAAAAACTACGTTTGCGTCAAATTAAACGAGTGAAAAGTGCAAATCCTCTACTTAGTTTCAATAGAAATTTAGTTCACATCATGTGAATTCTGCGTAAAAAAAAGTTTCAAATAGTCACGCGGGCGAAATAATAAGCACTGAAAATATAAAAACCAGCTAAGCTTCGGCTGTTGTTTTTGACGAGTGTGCACGTATGCAGCAGACTCGCCATAGCATAGCGCGAGGCAATGCGTTGTAGTATTTTATACATTTTGACAGGCAGGCGTCTTATAAACTCCTCTTGCTCTTGCAAAGTAGTCTGGCGTTCGATTCCAAAAAATATAAATCAATCTGGGAACCTAGCATCGTGAAACAAAACATTACAAATGACTGCGGTATGCTGGAGATATGGAGATAAAAAACGAATAAATATTTTTTTCCTTTAAAATGCTTTGAAATGTTACTTTGTAGTAAGTATTTTGAAAAAGAAGATTTTGTTCATAGCGGCTCAATAGGACTTATATTGGGCAAGTACGCTCGCTATGTTATATGCATTTTGTTATATCCTAAACTTTTACTCAACTAAACAGGGACAGCCATTGGCTGATTCTTGGTCACGTGGCCTTGACTAAAATCAAATGAATCGCGATCCAAAAAACATTGGCAGTTTTCTTTTTCGTGAATGAACACAGCAACGCAAACATGAAGCCTTAAGCTAAAAAGGAACGATTTTGGAAGTTATCCCAGAAGAGAAACAGTAGATAATGGAGGAAAAAGATGCAGATAATATAAGGAAAGTACTTTGTAAATCATTCATTCAGTAGTTCTGAAAAATAAATTTGTGTTCTTATAAGTACCGAGTCTACTGTTTTGATTCGCTTCGCGTAAAAGTATTTTTTTTTGTTGCTGTTGAAGTACGTTGCAGTGAAAGTCTGGGAATATAACAAAAGACTTGATGTCAGGTCCCTCGGGAAACCAATTAGTTTTGTTTTCCCTCGAATCCTGATGTTTCAGGACTCTCGGAAAACAAAACTGTTTCTTTCGGGACCTGACAATAAGTGTTTAATAATAAACATGTAAACAACAGGACTGGGTGTGAGTCGAACCATAGTTAGTGAAGGAGATTGGTTAGTGCAATGTTTTTAGTAATCACGAAGTCATCACGTCACGTGATCTGTCAGTAAAAGTACGGAGTTATTCGAGACAAACAAGCATGGCGTTGTTTTCTTGTTCACTCGGTCGATAGTACATCTGGCGACGAGGATCTAGCCAGCGAGCAAGCTAAGCCAACGAAGATCGAGCCATTCTTGGTGAGGGTAAAAGACAGAATGAGTTTGCGGAATGGCATGTGGCAATAATGGCTTGCACGATTAGAGCGAATGTTAATTGAAATAAACATCACAGTTCCTAAACGGAAAAGAGCTTTATTACTTCATTTATGCATGCGCAGGTCCGCGAGATATTTGATACCCTGCCAATTACTGGCGACGACAGTGATTATGCGACGGCGGTCTAGAAGCTGAATTAATACTTCTCGCCACAGACGAATATAGCTTATGAAGTGTACAATTTTCGTCAAACCAAGCAAAAAGACGGCGAATCGTTGGATAACTATCACACACGACTTCGTCAACTAGCCAAAACCTGTGAGTTGTGTATTGTCAGTAGAAGTGTTGTAACCAAATAAATGTTATTAAAAAAAAAAAACATTAACACAGAGATAAAAGAGCATATTATCTTAACCTGCAGTTCTAATTCACTACGATGCTGAGCGCTACGTGAAAATCTTACACTTGATGCCCTTTTTAAACTGGGAAGAGCCTTGGAACTTAGCAAAGAGCAAGCACGCCAAGTAGAGAAAGCGGCAGCAGACGTTAATGCCACAGAAACCAAAGGAAGCGATCTACCTCGTCGCTCACGTCAGCGAAACGAACTGAACACACCTCGCAGTCACGTTTCAGAAGATCTCAGTCACGCAATCGTCAAAAGTCAAGCAAGCGAAACAGCAAGCCCGGAAAATGTGATAATTGCGGCGGATATGCTCCTCAGAGGAATCCATGTCCAGCCCGAGGAAAATCGTGTAACGCCTGCGGGAAAATGGGACATTTTGCTCATGTTTGCAGAACAACAAACCCTTCTGCGAAAGATGGAAAAGTGGCTATTAAGAACTGGCTATTGATGTGAAGACGAAAACGAGTACGCGTACGATATTAATTACATCGAAAGCAAGAAGCCACCGATGTGCCAGGTACAAGTAAATGGAAAAGCAGTAGAGATGATGATCGACACAGGTGCATCTGTTAACCTTTTAGATGAAGCGACATTTCATCGCATTGACTGTGGTAACAAACTCCTAGAGCATGCTCACAGCAAGATTTATTCTTATGGATCTGATACTCCCCTGCCACTGCTAGGAACACTTTCAACAACTATCAAGTCCAGTAGTAATAGTACTACCACCCAGTTACATGTTGTGAAGGGAAACACAGGAGACCTCCTCAGCTACAACACTGCACAGAAGCTTGGATTGATTACAATATCTGTTAACACTACCACTGTCACAGATGTGAACAAGGACAGCCCAGAGTCTCTACAAGAGGAATTTGAATGTTTATGTGGAGGCATAGGAAGACTACGAAACAAAATAGTTAAGTTACATGTTGACCCTGACATCACACCCAGACAACAGCCACACCGCAGGATTCCCTTTCATGTGCGTGGAGACGTTGAAAAGGAGCTTGAAAGGTGAGAGAGATTGACTATCATCGAAAGATTTGAGGGCCCCACACCCTGGATTAGCCCCATAGTTGTCGTACCCAAGAAATCCGGAGTGCGGATCTGTGTTGACATGCCAGAGGCGAATAAAGCAGTCAAGAGACTCCAGAGTCAAGAGTCTCCAGAGACTCAAAGACAACAACCTTCGCCTCAACAAGGACAAATGCGAGTTCTCTAAGAGTGAAATCAGGTTCTATGGCCATTAGTTCCAGTGGCGTCAAGCCCGACCCCAAGAAAATTGAAGCAATACGCAATGCAAGCCCAACGCAGAACGCCAGTAATACCAAGTCCCTCCTAGGCATGACATGGTATGTATCCCGTTTCATTCCCAATTATGCCACAATCACAGCCCCATTGCGCCTTCCCACGCGACAAAACATTGGTTGCCGTTATTGTAACTTCTCTACAGTATACTTTGAAATCGCTACAGTTTCTAATATTTGCCGGAAGGACATTAAATAACTTGCCAGCAGAGTGTTGAAAGGTGCCCCTCTCCATTGGAATAATTAATCTTGTTGCTGCTCCTGACAGCAAAGATCGCAGATGTTTAACTGTCTCTAGTGGTACGTAAGATGGCCAGCTGGTGAAGTGCAAAGCCCGGTGAACGAGTTTGAGAAGGTGGAAATCTCTTCACTCTCTTACTGGTAACCGCCCTATCTACTCAGGACAAAACTAGCAGCGACTAGCTGGACACCTTGTAAACGTTTTAGTTGAAATTCCGGCAAAGGGTAATAGACAGTGTCAAAATAGTCAAGTTTTGACAGCACCAGTGACTCCACTAAGTGCTCTCTGAGTCTATAACCGGCAAAGTTCTTAAGGTTCCTTATTATTTGTATTGTTCCTTATTATATGGCCGTGTCTCAAAAGGACTGGAAACTAACAAATTCAAGAATTTGATTGGCTAAAATCGATCTTGACCTCGGTCTAGATTTTCCCATCTAGACCGGCATCTTCACCGATCTTGTTGTAACAGTTCTCCCCAAAAATTTACAAACAAAGAATATGAAACAATTGGCTTGTTCCTGTTAATAATACTAAATGGGAGAATCAGTGGACCTTCACGAGGGAGCAGGTAAAGAAAACGAGCAAACGTTGGCAAATTTGAGTCTTGCCGAGGAAGCTACGAGCGAAGATGAAGTCGAAATTGAGAAATTTGTGCAGGAGCAGAAATCAAAAAACACTCAATACAAGACTAAGAGCGATTTAAACGTATGGAAGAAATTTTGTGAGTCACAGAAAGAGTCTACTATTATGAGGATCATCAATCTGTCCTTATCGACTGGTGTTGTGCCCGATGCTCTGAAGGTTGCTATACTATCGCCCACATTGAAAAAATCTGATGCTGACTTTGAACAGTTCCAAAACTTTCGTCCTATCTCGAACTTAAAAGTAGTATCAAAGCTTGTTGAAAAGGCAGTTGCCATACAGCTCACAGATCACGTCATGGCGCACCACTTAGATGAGACGTTTCAGCTTTAATAAGAACTTTCACTCCACCGAGACAGCTTTAGTAAGGGTCCAGAATGACATCCTGTGTGCTATTGACAACAATGAGTCTGTCATACTTCTTTTATTGGATTTGTCAGCTGCCTTCGACACGGTTTATCACTCGAAACTATTATCAAGATTGCGTGACCGCTTCGGAGTAAACGGTACTGCAGCTGCATGGTTTGAGTCATACCTGACGTCGCGCACGCAGTTTCTTCGGGTCAATGACTGTAGGTCAACACAGCGCTCTCTAGAACGCGGTGTACCCCAGGGATCTGTTCTAGGCCCTCTTCTTTATCTCCTCTATACATCACCCATTGCTGATATCATAAAGTTCCACAAGTTACAGAATCATTTATACGCTGATGATACCCAGCTGTATATATCGTTTACAACTGACTGTAGCTATGATCTTTCTTTGGCTAAGCGTCGTATCGAATGCTGTGTAAACGACATTGATTGTTGGATGGTGAACGATGGTCTTAAACTCAACCAGGATTAAACTGAACTTGTTCTCATCAGCTCAAAATTTCGTTGCAGGCCTTCTCTGTCCAGGATCGTTATCAAATTTGATAACCATGTGACGTCACAACATAGTGGCCATTTCAAAAGTCGGGAATTTTCGTACTCGCCTTTCTTTATCCGAGATTTTGTCCGATCTTATTCGGTGTAAACTCGTCAGGTACCCATGGTTCTGTTGGGCAAGGCCAAGAAGCTTCACATGTTTCAAAATGGCAGATGTGTATCACGCGTATTGAAGTAAATTTCCCTGTCAAAGTGAAGCATCCATCACATTTTTGTTCCGAGATCAGGTACGTTTTTCCACTTCGTTGTTAAATTTAATGCACTTGTCGATTTTTGTGAGAGTTGCAAAAAATCTGGCGTTATATCCAAGGCTTATGCTTTCGATTCAGCATGTTTCTATTGTTGTGCACAATCTCTGAAAAAAGTGCATCAGGTATTTTTATTCGCAATGCGCTTTCAATAATGTCGGCCATATTTGATTGATGTCTTCCTCAAGGTGCTGAGATGGCAGATGATGCCCCTAGAAGCAAAATTTCAAAGGTATGTCGCCTTTGTGGCAAGATCGCGTCTTCAAATACCTCCAGACCAAAGGAGAAATTTAAAGAAGATTTTAAACAATACCAGCAATAAAAGGGGGTGGTAGGCCTACACGACTTTCACCTCATGCCAAAATGCTGCTTATTCCAATAAAAATTTTTTTCTCTGCTGGGTAAGATTATGCTCTGGAAGGTTCTACATTTTCACTGAGCAAATGTAATTTTAAACGCATGTTTCACACTGAGAGGTCATGACACACATATCGATTTACTGTAGTTATTGTTTATGGTCGGCAGAATTTGCCCTCTGATACTAGCGCATTTTCTTTGAACTCTTTTGAAGCGTAAAGCTTTTTTATTACGGCTGAATAAGGGTTCCAATTTTCTCCAAAGTGCCTTCTGGATCTGAATAACTAAGTGATTTTCTTTGGTCCGGGAGTGTAATGTTTTTCTGCAATGCCGTATCACGCCGGGCTCAGCTCGTTAGTTTTCCTTGCAGAATGTTATATTAGCACGGATAGTGATGTACAGATCCAAAATTATAAGTCAGAATGAAGTGCAGCTTAAACTGAAGCTACATCAACTTACTATGGAGAATTAAATTGTGACTCAGTAAACTCCAGCTTAGGGTTTTTCTAAAGATAGTGTGAGTCTTTTGACTGGAGCGCGTAGTTCCTCCCTTAGTAATAGCTTTGAATAAGCTTAACAGTCTTTAAACTGTTTTGTTATTGCCACTTTGTGATCAGGCAAGACCATGGTTTCGGTTCTCCACGAGAACCTCATCTGTTGCCGGGTTGGCTTTGTGCTTAGTTGCTCAGTTTTACAAGAGCAACTTTAGTTGTACTTTGTTGTGGCGAGAACGGTACAGCCGTTCTGTCGATTGAGCCTTGAACTTGAACATGAATGTTTTTCAAGAATATCCCAGAGGGCAAACTACAGTCGTAGGTGAGAGTTATTGTTCGTCCTAAACGCGCTTTGCATATACAAATTTTCAGTTTTCCGCTACAACGGCTTTCGCTACCTGAGCAATAAAAAATTTTAAAACAGTTATTTGTATATGCTAATCAATGGAAGGCATACTCATTGTCTGCATGTTCCGTTTTTGTTTCATTGACAGATCTATGGACAACAACCATCATCGACATCATCTCCTCGTGACAAGAGGAAAAAAGCAGAATGAACTTCGAAAAAGCAAACTTCTGTAGACGATGTTAAAAATAAAACCTCTATCCTTAACAGAATAACCATTGTCTTCCATCACTGTGTCTCTTCAATTTGAACATTTCAGTAGAAACAAATTACGTATGAGTTTGATGATTTGTTTGAAATACACGAAGCTTTCCGCAGAGGTCTTATTTGGAAAAAATGCGTCTCAAATACAATTTCACTAGTTTTACAATCTACTGCGAGATGTCTGTTATAACAAAATGCCATATACATGAGTTGCTGTCTCGGCAGTATTCCTCTCTATTTCTGAAAACATCTCGACATCGTCCGCCATATTGAATTCAAGAACGCTTTCCCCCAAATTAGGTCACGTGAACGAAAATTTGAACAGCGATTGGCTCGTGATTTGTTTTGGTCGAGGTTATCGAATTTGATAACAATCCCGGACTGTTTATCCAAGTGGTTGATGAGAAGATCCAACCCAAACCTTCCGCCCGAAATCTGGAGGTGATTATAGATCAGTGTCTTGATTTTACGGACCATGTTAACAAATCTGCGTTTCCTGTCAGTATCATTTAAGGAACATAGCTAAGATCAGGGAGTACTTAAGTGAAGATACCTCTCAAATTTTAGTACATGCGTTTATTAGCTCTAAACTCGATAACTGTAACTCTTTGTTATATGGTCTTCCTAAACACCTGTTAAACAGGTTAAGACTGATACAAAACACTGCTGCAAGCATTGTTACATTATCTAAGCGGTTTGACCATATCACTCCTATCCTGTTCAAACTTCATTGGTTGCCGCTGGATTATCACATACATTTTAAAATTTTACTCTTAGTTTACAAATGTCTAAATGGCTTGGCACCAACTTACCTATCCGAACTTTTACGCTACACTAATGGTCCACGATTACTCCGTTCTAGTTCCCAGAATTTTCTAGCCGTGCCTACGACTAGGTTAAATACGTATGGTGATAGGGCTTTTTCCGCAGCTGCTCCTAGGTTATGGAACCAATTGCCCCCTGAACTCAGGGGTGTTACATCTGTCGACCAGTTCAGGACGCAGTTGAAGACATACTTATTTAAATTAGCCTACGATGTTTGATTTTAGTAGCTTTATTTAATTTTTATTTTATCTGATAATAGTTTTTAACTCTAGTCTCTTACCATATTATTGTACAGCGCTTTG